GAACGAGCGCATTCGTGCCCAACTCCCTCGGCGTCCCTCAGATCAACCCCCTCTGCAGAGTAACCTGAATGAGGACGAAGGGCATTCGGTTTCTAAACCCCGAACTACGACCAGAGCACCGACTCCACGACCTGCCACGCATCGGTCTCATGCACCGACGCACAAGTCGACTCAGGATGTCAGCAGGGCCCCCACTCATGTCACAGAGGGTCAAGAAACTTTTCGCCGTCATCCTTTTGTGGATGGCATCATGGAGACTCCACTCCCCCGTAGATGGAAGCCTCTCCACCTTGATCGCTATGATGGCACGACGGACCCCGATGAACATATTGACCTGTATACGACCCAGGTAAACCTCTACACTAACAATGATGCTATCTTGTGTAGGGTTTTCCCGACCTCGCTCAAAGGGGCCGCACTCAACTGGTATACCCAGCTACCTGCCGAGTCAATTGACAGCTTTGACACTCTGGTCAGACGATTCACGGCGCAGTATGCAACGAGTCGACCTCACCTCGTAACGTCGACTGCTCTGGCCAGCCTCAGACAGGGCGATGACGAATCACTACGGACGTTCATGGAACGTTTTGCTGGCATCTCGGTGAAGATTCGCAACTTGAATCCTGAGGTCGCCCTACACACCATGCTCATGGCGCTTAAGCCGGGACCTTTTGTGGACAGCCTGTGTCGCCAAGCTCCCACTGATATGGACGAACTCCGTGCCCGAGCTGCCGACCTGAAACAAGAAAAGTTGTGGCGAATATCAGATGAAGCCAAATGATCAACTCTGTTGAAAGAACAGTTAAGGCAAGGCACATCATGAGAACTAGACAATTCAAGCTAATTGAATAGACAAAGTACAATATGTTCACCAGAAGAAAATGCCTCCAAGGAAAAGGAGAAAATTGAAGAAAAAGGAGAACTTGAGGAAGAGGATGAATTCCTCAAGTACATAAGGCAAAGTGAATACTCCATCATCGATCAATTGAAAAACACTCCAACGAAGACCACTCTACTTTCGCTGATCATGAGCTATGAGCCTCATAGACAAGCTTTTTTTAAAGTTTTAAATGAAGCCTACATCGCACACAATATATCTCAAGACAAGCTTGAGGGGATTATAAGTCACATCACGACTAATAATCACCTCATATTCACGGATGAAGAAATTCCACCTGGTGAAATCAACCACAACAAATCTTTACACATCTCTATAAAGTGTAAAGAGTTTCTCATCACTAAAGTCTCGGTAGATAACGGATCTTCCTAGAATGTGATGCCTAAAGCAAAAGTTGTACCCTCAATGCTCTTTCAAAAGATCAAATTCATGGTGAATGATAGACTGATAGTCGTTCAAGAAAAAGAAGAAATTATTATCAATAAGCCAATAAGCCACTTATAGTGTCATATGTGGATGTGGCAGAGGAAGCCTTGGAAACTGCTTTCCAAGCATTGAAATCACTAATGTGGAGAAGATTTCCAACAATGGAAGATTGGTAGCTCAAATGCTAATAAAAAAAGAATACCATCAAAACAAGGGCTTGGTAAGAATGCATAAGGGGTGATTGAGCTACCCAATTTCCAAGAAATCCAAGGCGCCAGGGTTTAGGAAATGAACCAGCAAAATTTGCAAGGGATGAGAATCTAAGAACTCTCCCTTTGGATCAAATCTTCAGAAGGGCTAGTATCTAAACATCAGAAGGATCAGGGAACTTTAACTTCCTTTCCCTAGGAATGATGAACTTGGGGCATGTTTAGGCCTTTGAGAAACATTAAAGGGAGACATGTAAATCAAAACATTTTTTAATGCCATACATCTTTCTATTATTCATTTCTTTTCTCTCTATTCAACATTTATTCTAGACCACGCTAATAAACATGAAATAAGCAAGCATAAATAAAATAGAAGCTGTTAAGTCAAACAAAGAAACTCCCAGTAAGGTTTTAAATGAGACAAATATAATGCGTATTGTTATTTCTAACAAGTGTGTTAGTGTTTCAGATAAAGACATGAGTACAAGCAAACCAAAGAATAAAGAATATACATGTATTACCGTCTACACCAGAACTAAGAGATATGAGCTAAGCATTAGATAAAGGGTGATCAAAAGAAGGAAATACATCAGACGAAGACACCCATAAACGTAAACATAAAGGAAATAAAGGACAAGAGCACGAGAAACCAAGATGAAAGGCAAAAGCTAACAAGACGACAAATAAGGAGATCAAACGATCAAATAAAGCCAAGCCCAGCACAAGAAGGAAAATAATGAAGCCTCAGATGATACAAGACCATGGACGATGACAGCTGACCAGACGAAGACTCAAATACACAGACGAAAACCAAGAAGGCTGGATTGCGTCTGAAGTCACAACGAGAAGAACTACCTAGCATTCACACTTTCAGAAGAACACATGAAGTCATCAAAATAGAAGAAGAGAGAAGAGCAAAATGGACTAGCGCTTATCCAAAAATCAAAGTTTCACGTGTCAGAGCAAGTACACTTACCAGTCAACAAAGGACAACACCTCTGTAGCTACAATAACAAGGAAGTACAGAGATATCTAGGTCATGATTAATGTCAGATATAGAAGCAAACAAACGGTACAAAAGACTTTGTGAAACGCAAATTCAGCAAGCAAACATTTAATGCAAGATCAGATGCATTAAATGCAAGAATCCACAAAGCCTGTGGAAACTAAACAAGATAATTAGATGATCGCTAGTCAAGCATCAAAACTAGGTATGCTCATGGACGGAAGAACATTCAACAAACACTAGATGAGGACTATTACCAGAAAGAGACATTGGAGTATCAGAAGAAAAGCCAAAGCGAGACCAAACCTGAAACAAGAAAAGTTGTGGCGAATATCAGATGAAGCCAAATGATCAACTCTGTTGAAAGAACAGTTAAGGCAAGGCACATCATGAGAACTAGACAATTCAAGCTAATTGAATAGACAAAGTACAATATGTTCACCAGACGACTATGATTCAAATATCAGATGGATGTGTGTCAAGAACAACTTCTAGATACGAGACTCATACTCCCACAAATACTAACTTTAGCATCGCAGTCTCTTTTACAGGTATCACCCCCATCTTGGAGCACCAACGTACCCGTGAAGGAGGCTCACCGATCTTACCTGGCAGATCAGCTCTACAGCAGATTTCCGGTAAGAACACTATATATTTCAAATGACCGTGTATTTTTGCTTACTTTGGAATTGAATGAGAATTTATCTTCATCAAGATCTCAATTCTCTCTAGCTGAAATCATCAAGGAGAGTTTCATTCTCCATTTCACCTTGAGACTTTCTCTTTGTAGCTTTAGGCTTAAACTTCTTCTAAACCGAGAAGTTTGGTTTATCATTGATCAACATTGTTCCTTCTTCTTCTTCTTCGGATCTTTTCCTTGAAGTGATTACAAGGAGTTGCAAGAAGTTCTATGGAATTGAGTCAAACCGAGACTCCATCATTTTCTTACTTTGTTATTCAATTGCATTAAAATAAATATTTAACAAAAATTGGGGTCCCTATTACATGAATACTCTTAGCTGTGCTTAGTCAAAATAAGTTTTAATTTCTTAGAGATACATCTAGTTCGAAAAGAATGTATAGAAGTATTAAAGTTTTGGTTTTCCTAAAGTAAAAACCAACAAAACAAGTCAGAGAAAGACAATGTATAAAATAAATTTGTCTTTATTTTTATTTTAATATTCTGTGCCACGTAGCATCTAAGGTGACGGTACAATATAATCGCATCACAATTCACATCCTCTACTCTCATGTTAGTCTCACTAAACATTTCGCGTGATCTTCTGTTAAACTACCCGTAAGTTACTTGCTGGCTTTAAAGAACCAAAAAAGTTTTTCTTTTGTGTGAAACCTCTTATAAATCAATGTCTGTCAAAGTTTTAAGTAAAGGTACATAACCGGAGAAGTAATATTAAAAATTATCCTTTATTAACCTACAAAATATTAAATTAACGTTAAGATTAATTTTCTCAATTTAAATTATTATTATTAATAAGAGAAACAAACATTTTATATTTATATATTTTATTTGTTTAGAGAACTTAAAGAGAATATAGTTGTTAAAGTGTGTGGTATGAAATTAGAGATAAAAGTATATAATAAAAAGGTTAAAATCAAAGGATAATTATCAAAATTCGTCTCCTTTATAATATGTATTGATAAAATTTATGTCTATAAACTAAAATATAGCACATTAGCTAGTTTTACAATAATTTGATATAGTAACAATATATTTCAAATTTTTATGTTAATAAAAGTATTTGTAAACCAAAAATCATTAGTCTAAAGGGAAAAAAAGTTATGCAAAATTCAAAAAGGTTTTGGTAAAATTGTTTGATAGTTAATTTCATGTAAATTATACTAAAAAGTTTCACAAAATTTATTATTTAAAATAATCTATTGAAAGTTATATATTTTTTAATACCAATAATTTTTTTAAATAAAAAAGTTTTAATTGAATACTACCAACTTTTGATGGACTCATACAAAAATTTGGATTGTTTTAATTGAATACCATCAGGTATTAAAAAAATCTTAAAAAAATTATAATTATCTTAATTGAATATTACATATTTTTTATATTAATTTTTTTATTAAATACTAAAATAATTTTTTATAATAAAAAATATTTTAAAATCCTAATGTAATACACTTTTCTAAGTAGATTAACGTTTGTATTCTTTAATTTAATTAAAGATTAAAATTTGATCATCGGGTAGGACATGAAGTGACAAAATGATGACCGGAGATATTATTTTACTACCGGAAGAGTTGATATGGTGGAAATGAGTTATATCTATTTATAAAAAAAAATTAAATAATAAAAGCGTATGCCTATTAAATTATTACTTTGCATAGTACAATTTAAAATCATGCATAGATCGTGATATTGATTTACGGATTAAATTAAAATTGTTGCATAGTCATGCTTTCTTGTAGCTAGTAGAGTAACGTATGATTATCATTTTTAAAGAATGTCTCATGCGAGCTCAAATTCTCTCTCTTCATCACTTCACTCTATCTCTGAGAGCCCCACGAAGAGAAGAACGAGACCGCGAACATGGCTTTTAACATCGTTGTTTGCCATCACTTTCATGATAGCAACGGTTGCAATTCTCTATGGGCTGGGCCCATTGAAGGCGGTCCAGTTGAGATGGCCCGTTAAATCCGAAATTGTGGCACAGGGAGAGGTTGTGGGACCCGAAGACTTGGCTTACGATAAAAGGAGACGAGTCATCTACACGGGTTGTGAGGATGGGTGGATTAAGCGAGTCACGGTGGCTGACTCGGTGGCTGACACGGTGGTCGAAAATTGGGTCAACACAGGTGGAAGACCCCTTGGACTTGCTCTTGAGAAAAGTGGTGAACTCATGGTTGCGGACGCAGTTAAGGTAGGTCCCTTCTAGCCACAACATTACAACATTAGTAATTAATGCATAATTATTGTTGGTATATACAACTCATGGAATTTAAATTATGCTACCTCCCATACTTTATAGTATTCGTCGTTTAATGTTGGTTTATAATCAAGAAACATAGGTTTTCTTTTTCATAAAATAATTTTAATATTTCTTATTATACCATTTTTTTATAATAAATGTATATTAATTGTGATATGTAAATTAGTTAAAAATTAGATGAGATATAAGGGTATAATTGATAATATGAACATTAAAAGATGAGAGATCTGTTTATTCCAGGAGTAAGTCTACTTAAACTTACTACGTTCAATAACTCATGTTTTATATCAAATTTTAATGATGCAACCGTTGAATTTAAAGTTCTTAATGTATAGACTAAATCTGCAAATATTTAGAAAATTTGAAGATCATTTGATATTTCGTTTCATTAATTCAAATTAATGTATAAAATACTTTTATGATTAACCGTCAATTTGAATTAATGAAATGAAGTATAAAATAATTTTCAAATTTTCTAAAAATTTGTAGACTTGATCTATGCATTAACACTACAAGAAAAATGTTAATTTTCGACGGGAACAAGTAAATTTTTAACGGATTTTGTAAATTTATTAATGTAACAGCTCAAGGATTCTGTGTTTTATCCTTACTTAAGCAATTTCTAGGAAACTTCTCAGAAGGTCATCCATCTCTATATATTACTCCAGGTCAAGCACGCTTCTAAATCATCTCCATTTATAGATCTAGAAGATGATGGAACCCTTGTAGCAGTTGGGGATGGTGTGACTGCAATAAATGGAGATGGTGATCGTGTGGGTTCAACAACTAGCGAAGGTGCTTATGTGGGTGCAACAAATGAAGTTGGTGATCGAGTGGTTGGAGCAACTGGGGATGGTGTGGTTGCAGCAATAGACGATGGTGCATGTGTGGGTGCAACAAGTGGAGATGGTGATTGGATGGGTTCAATAACTGGGGATGGTGTGGGTGCAACAATTGAGGAAGGTGATGGTGATGGAGATGGTAAGTTTGATGATAAAATAGAAGCTGTTAAGTCAAACAAAGAAACTCCCAGTAAGGTTTTAAATGAGACAAATATAATGCGTATTGTTATTTCTAACAAGTGTGTTAGTGTTTCAGATAAAGACATGAGTACAAGCAAACCAAAGAATAAAGAATATACATGTATTACCGTCTACACCAGAACTAAGAGATATGAGCTAAGCATTAGATAAAGGGTGATCAAAAGAAGGAAATACATCAGACGAAGACACCCATAAACGTAAACATAAAGGAAATAAAGGACAAGAGCACGAGAAACCAAGATGAAAGGCAAAAGCTAACAAGACGACAAATAAGGAGATCAAACGATCAAATAAAGCCAAGCCCAGCACAAGAAGGAAAATAATGAAGCCTCAGATGATACAAGACCATGGACGATGACAGCTGACCAGACGAAGACTCAAATACACAGACGAAAACCAAGAAGGCTGGATTGCGTCTGAAGTCACAACGAGAAGAACTACCTAGCATTCACACTTTCAGAAGAACACATGAAGTCATCAAAATAGAAGAAGAGAGAAGAGCAAAATGGACTAGCGCTTATCCAAAAATCAAAGTTTCACGTGTCAGAGCAAGTACACTTACCAGTCAACAAAGGACAACACCTCTGTAGCTACAATAACAAGGAAGTACAGAGATATCTAGGTCATGATTAATGTCAGATATAGAAGCAAACAAACGGTACAAAAGACTTTGTGAAACGCAAATTCAGCAAGCAAACATTTAATGCAAGATCAGATGCATTAAATGCAAGAATCCACAAAGCCTGTGGAAACTAAACAAGATAATTAGATGATCGCTAGTCAAGCATCAAAACTAGGTATGCTCATGGACGGAAGAACATTCAACAAACACTAGATGAGGACTATTACCAGAAAGAGACATTGGAGTATCAGAAGAAAAGCCAAAGCGAGACCAAACCTGAAACAAGAAAAGTTGTGGCGAATATCAGATGAAGCCAAATGATCAACTCTGTTGAAAGAACAGTTAAGGCAAGGCACATCATGAGAACTAGACAATTCAAGCTAATTGAATAGACAAAGTACAATATGTTCACCAGACGACTATGATTCAAATATCAGATGGATGTGTGTCAAGAACAACCTCTAGTACAACATGAAGAAATGGACCAAGCATGAAACAACGATAAGAAAAAAGTCAACTATGCATCAGACAAAGGACAACACAGACGGAAAGACACTCCAGACAAAAACAATGTTTGTCTATTCATATTGTTGACCAGAATAAAGAAAAGTCAAAACATTAAACTCAGACGCTGAGACGAAGGTCAAGATTGAGATGCACAAAACCAACAGACGAAGACGAAATTATTTTAAGGTAGATAAATAATATTTATTTTAAAAAAATTGAAAAAAATTTAGAGGTGTTAAATATTAATATGATAATAGTACATAATTGTTGTAGGTGACACCTATGATAATTATTTATCTTTGTTTTAAAAAAAATAAAAAGTAGTTAAAAATGATTACATAAAAAATAAGAATTAAAAATAAAAATTCCAATTTTAGAAAACGAAAAACAATTTTTTTTACAGAAATAAAAATCAAAACTTATTAATTTTATAAGGATTAAAGAGATATTTAAGTCATTTTAAAAAGATAAAATTAAAGAAAATATTTTTTTAAAATAAAATTAAAAGTTATTCATTTTATAATATTAAAAATAATATTTATAAATTTTAAAAAAAGCGATCATCGGATTCCTGAAAAGTTCAAACAAGGGACATTGGGAAATGTGCTATGGTCTTAAATTTTCCGACGGAAACAAAAATTTGTCAAAAAATTCTGTCAAAAATTTTTGATGAAAATATTCATCGAAAATTTTCTGTCAGAAAATTTATATTTTCCGACGGATTTATATCTGTCAGAAATTTGCATTTTTTTTGTAGTGTAAGAACTTTAAATTCAATAGTTAGATCGTTGAAATTTGATGTAGAACATGAGTTATTGAACAAAATAAGTCTAGGTAAACTTACTTTTCGAGTAAACAGATCCCTTCTCAAATTAATATTATCTTAAAATTTGAAAATGATAAACAAATATAATTAAAACCTTAATAAAAATCTAACAGATAAAAAAGAACCAAAGAAGTAATAAGTATGTAAAATAGAAGTCTCTATCTTTTTTTTAATATATATATATATATATATATATATATAAAGAGATAATGGAGTGAATGAGAAGTTTGAAAATGAAATTTATTACGAAGTCGAGAAGAGAGAATGAAAATTATATAAAAAGATAGTGGGAGAAAAAGAGTGGTTTAAAGATAATTATAGAAATAAAATAGTTTAAAGAAATGGGTATACTGAAAGGGGATGTTTCATTTATTTTAAAGAAATGCTAATAATACACTCTTTTAAATATATTATTTCTAATTAGTTAAAATTTATTAAAAATTATAAAATTTGGTGGGTTTCATACCATATTTAATGTCTCTCTCCCTCTCCCCTGATTATGTGATTTTCAATAAGTTCTAACTAATAAAAGTAAGTGTATTTAAGAGTTATGTTAAATAATGTCTTATTAGTATTTTTTTTTATATTTTATACTAGTGAAAAATAGACACTACCTATCTATGTCTTTAAAAAAAAATGACTCTACACACTGCAAAAATTGGATTTAAAATCAGAGTTTTAAGATCGGTTACAAGGTAACCGATCTTAAAAGTGACGCGGTGACAATTTTGTAAATAATATGAACACTTTTAAGATCGGTTATAAAAGAACGGATCTTAAAAGTGACACTTTTAAGATCGATTATAAAATAACCGATCTTAAAAGTGACACTTTTAAGATCAGTTATAAAATAACTGATCTTAAAAGTACTTTTAAGATCGGTTATTTTATGACCGATTTTAAAAGTGCTACTTTTAAAATCGGTTATTTAAGAACCGATTTTAAAAGTGCTACTTTCAAAATCAGTTATTTCAAAACTGATTTTGTATGTAGTATGCAAAATCAGTTCTTCAATAACCGATTTTAAAAGTATCGTCATAAATCTTTTATATTCCCCTCCATTCTCATTCTCTTCAATTTTTCCTTCCATTCCTTTTTTTAATTTCTGACGCTCTCATAAGTTTCCAATAAGGTAAATTTCATTTTCATTTTCGTCTTCTCATGTTCTTTTTGTGTCTCTTTTCATTTTTTCATTCTTTTCTCGTGTCTATTTTCGTTGTAGGTTCAGTGTGGGTAAATATCGAACCTGGAACGGCCCGTTCTGCAAGGAGAACGGACCGTTCTACCAGGAGAACGGGCCGTACTCCAAGGAGTACGGGCCGTTCTCCAAGGAGTACGGGCCGTTCTCCAAGGAGTACGGGCCGTTCTCCAAGGAGTACGGGGCTTTCTCCAAGGAGTACGGGACGTTCTCCAAGGAGTACGGGTCGTTCTCCATTGAGAACGGGCCGTTCTCAAAGGAGAACAAGCCGTTCTCCCTAGAGAACGGGCCGTTCTAAAAGTTAACTTTAGGCATTTTGATCAGACTGGAACGGCCCGTTTCAGTTTTGGAACGGCCTATTCCAGTTTATTTTTTTTCCACAGACGGACTTTTAAGATCTGTTATAAAATAACCGATCTTAAAAGTGAATTTTTAAAATTGGTTGTTTAACCGATTTTAAAAGTCTAACTTTTAAAATCGACTCTTTCAAAATCGGTTACGGAACCGTTTTAAAAATTAAAAATAACCAATTTTAAAAGTCTTTTTCCACTAGTAACAAGAATGAGTAACTAATTAAATTTCTTTACTCATACTAATTAAACTTGAAATTTAATATGAATTTCTCATATTTTTATATCATGTGAACTTATATTGAGTACCAGTTAGACAAATTATATTTCATTAAAAATTTTCAAAGAAATTAATAATTGATTCTAATCTTGAATAAACTTGTGCTAACCTAAACTTTTTTATTATAAAAAAGGATAAAAATAATGGAGTGGGTGATTGCTTAAAAAGAGAAATTTGAAGGGTAAAATTTATAGTGAAATAGAAGAAAAACAATAAAAACTAAATAAAAAGAAGGATAGTGGGGGCAAATGTTGTTTAAAGGTAGTTACTGACATGTCCGTACATTTTGTCACGGGGGGAATCATTTCCTCTTATTGAAATTAAAGCCTTGAATTGAACAACCTTTTCAAATCTTCTCAAAACTTTTCTTTGAAAAAGTGCTTTTATCCTACTTGTGGCCAATAAGCATAAACAATATCGATAATATAATCTTCTATGCTACCACTAATTTCATGTTATAGTTGACCTATATACAACATATTAATTTTGGATAATGACCTAACATTAACATACATAATCCATTATAACTGATCCATGTTTAGGGTTTTGAAAAAATTATGTTAACCATCAAAGACCTAACACAACTTTCATCTTTTAGCAAGACTTAAGAATGACAATGAAATTATAAGTGGAGCTATTATGAGCGTAAATTATAAATAAAATGATTACACCAATAATATATAATATACAATGATAAAATAAAATATATATACTAGCAAAAATTATTTAGTGCAATACATCATACTATTAGTATAGGGCCATAATATTTATAAAATCAGTAGTAAATTGATTTTTTTTTTTTAGTTTTATACTGGCCATTTTTATGTTTTGTAGGTAGAGAAAAAATGGGAGAGTTTTTAAAGAATCAAATTGCAAAAACACATTTATAGGTCTTCATATTAACCACAATTAGCTTTTCAAGGCTTCGAACCATTTGATCTCAATTCTATCAACATTTATTTCTCTAAATTATAGAACTTAGTTTTATAATTATTTTATTAGTTGTATACGCTGCATTGTTTTAAGAATTAACTTCGTTGGAAAATGACCGAGAATATTTGGATATCAACATTTCAAACAAGTTTTCAAACCTAAGATTGTAGGAATTGTTTATAGTGGTGGTAGGTTTTTACTTTTTGATTTTCAAATACACATTTCAAAATAGTATAAATTTTTGTTAAGTTCAAGTATAATTGAATTAATATTTAACTCAGTTTAAAAATACTTTTAACTCATTTTTTTTAAGCAAAAACAGATAATTAGTTTTTTTTTTGTTTTGAATAGCCAAATATTTTTAATTTTTTTTTTTTAGAAATATCAACAAGTTATAAACACTATCATTATCATAACATATAATCATCATATTAATTATTATGAATAATTATCACTCTTTTCACGATTATTATAATCATCACAATCACCACCACCGTGGTAACTATCATTATTATCACTACTAGCAACTAATCCATTTGTTCACATGTATAATAAGTTTGTTAATTTTTATAATTAATTATTTTAATAATCATACCTATCATAATTTTTATTTGTTTGACTATGTAAGTTTTTTTACACTTCTAACATACAAAAATTAAACTCTTTATATCGTTGATTATGTCTTATTGAAATTAAAGCTACCATTATGAAGGTAGATTTTGGTTTGTAACAAGTAATTCTCTTTAATGGTATTATTGGATTCTAAATGTGAGTACCACTTTTTACAGGAATTCAAAATGTGCTTCGCTATGTTGTGGAGACCAACTATTTCGTCCTGTTAGATCCAACGTCCATCAATTTTGAAACATGTTTCCATGTCTAAAGTGAAACAATTAATAAGTCAAATTTATGTAAATCAACGACATCATATTCAACAACTAAATGTGTGACTGATTTAAGTGATATATACCTTATTCTCTCTAAAGAACGTCTCATATTCAAGTATTCTATATGGAATTTCTTTTTTTTTTTTTTACATTAATTAGAAGAGTTAGACTCACCATGTTGTGAACATTATCAATTTGAGAGTAGGATTACATCAATTAAACTATTCTTGACATTAGGGGCCAAAATGTCTTTTCTCCTCAAGGATAAGAAATTAAAGAGAAGATATAAGATCCGAGTTGTTCAACATAAGTGTTTGTAATTTGTTAGAAACAATTGTATTAACATAAAGTTTATTTTAATACATGAGGGATTCTATGTCCTAGCAATAGTTAATTTACAAATACATTGTTTAGTTTTTTTTTTCTTGTTTTTATTTTATTTTAATTTGATCCATTGGAATTCAAAGTCATTATTATCTTATTTAATTTGTATTTATTTGATTATTGGGTACAACATTGATACAGGGGTTGTTGAGAGTGACAAGAAAAAAGAAGGTTGAGGTTCTAGCGGATGAGGTTGAGGGATTGAAATTCAACTTAACAGATGGTGTTGATGTAGCAGAAGATGGTACAATTTATTTCACAGATGCTACATACAAATACTCTTTGGAAGATTACTACAATGACATCATTGAAGGTAGGCCTCATGGTAGATTCATGAACTATAACCCAGAAACAAAAAACGTAACTGTGCTTGCTCGCAACCTGTACTTTCCTAATGGAGTTGTAGTCTCATCGGATCAGCATTTCGTGATATACTGTGAAACTATCAAGTAAGTTACTTGCTAGTTTAAAGCACCATCAAAGTTTGTTTTATACATCTATACTCAATTATATAAGGCACACAAATTAGGTTAGCAATTCAGCATGTGCATGCTAGCTTTTGCCCCCTACCTACATTCACCAAAATAACACGTGCTTTATGCGAATTTGACCTAAAGTCCAAGAAGGTTATGCATTTCATGCACATAAGTTCTCATTTCTAATTTTGTTGGTCGTAGGAAAAGATGCAGAAAATATTACATAAAGGGTCCTAAAAAAGGAAGAATAGGAGAATTTTGTCGTGACCTACCTGGCATGCCAGATAATATTCATTATGTTGGACAAGGGCAATATTATATTGCAATGGCCACGGTATGACATAGTCCTTAACCTCGTTATTTACCTTAACATTATCAAGTAGTTCTATATGAAAACTCAAATTAAAGTGATATTAATATGTTTTATGAATTAAGATTGATATAGAACTAAACAATTCTTAAAAAGTAAATTAACAAAAATATAAATCAAATCTTTGTCTTATCTAATGATATTTTTTTTGGGTGCATTATTGGCAGTCCTTAACTCCTCAATGGGATTTATTACGTAGATACCCTTTTATTCGAAAAGTTGCAGCAATGGTTACAAAGCATGTAGGAAGACTACATGTGGAGGATAATGGAGGAGTCCTTGTTGTGAATTTGGAAGGAAAACCAACTGCACACTATTATGATACTGAATTATCATTAATCTCGAGTGGGATCAAAATTGAAAATTATATATATTGTGGTTCCCTTATGTATCCCTACTTAATACGTCTTGATTTGAAGTAATATGTACCCGTCTTTATCAATGAATGACCAAATTACCTCACCAAAGTTTCCCTACTATTTTATTTCTGTATTTAATTAAATTCCATTTATGCTCCTTGTAAAATTTTAGGGAGTTGGTAAATGCATCTTTACTTATTTATATACTTTATATTATATATAAGAATATAAAAACTTGAAATTAAATTTCACTATTTCCATGTAAATATAATTAATACTCTTTTTTCTATCTCTTGAACCTATATATCACACGTTATCCACAATTGGTAAAAACACATTATCTTACATTTATCCAAGTTGCTCTCCTTTTATATTTAGAGTAGGGGAAAAAGAGACATTATATATGTGTGTCTCTAAATTTAAAAAAATATAAATAAAAAAGAAAAGAAAAAATGAAGCAAATAGTTAAATAGAGATTGAGAGGTTTGATAAGGAAAATTACAAAGAAATAGAAAAAAGAAAAAGAATATAAATTAAATGAAAAGGTTGAAGGAGAGAAAGAGTGATATAGAGGTTACAAGAGTAAAATAGTCTAAAAATAAGGATATCATTTTTATTATATGTACATATAGATATGATGGTATTGTAGGGAAA